CCGCAAATCGTAGTTCGTAGGCACAAAACTCGACATATTTAAGGTTATAAAAATATATACCGGTGTATGGAACTTGGGTTGTTGCACCTGGTACAGCTTCTCTCGAGCAGGGATTTTTAATCGCGGGTTTCGTAAAAAGAATATTTATTTCCTGGTCCTGTTTCATACTTCTACACTTGGTAAAATTTGCAGTATTTCAAGAGTTTATGAAATAGTAATGTTATTATGCCATTAAAATATTTTTTGAGAAATTATTATAAAGTTAATTTTATTTACTATTAATAGAATTATAAGATTTTTTTAACCTTGGTGTCTACGATATTAAGAGAAATGAAATAGATATCGTGGGGAAATAAATATAAATATAACGCTAATAAAAGCTAATCGTCAAAAATTGATGTATTGGTAATACAAATAAGTTACCGCCGTTTTTTTTATAAAAATTATCAATTTATTGTAAAAAAATATACATTACATTTTATTTAAAATATTGTCCGTCATTAGCTACTACTTTTTGCCATCTTTCTGGCAGCATTCGGTTGCCACGTCAAAAAAACTCTTCATCTTTTGAGGCTACCCAAGAATCGACCCAATTTTTGGCTTCTTCGTAAGAAGTGAAGTGCTGCTCGACCAGGGCGTGAGTCATTGACCAGAACAAGTGGTAGTCCGAAGGAACAATGTCTGGTGAGTACGGCTGGTGGGGTAAGACATTGTAAAGCTTCCAAAATATCCTTGACTACTTTTGCAACATGTGGCCGAGCGTTGTCGTGCTGAAAAATCACTTTGTCATGTCTTTTGGCATATTGGGAGCATTTAAGCTTCAATTCTTGGCTTAATTGCATCAGTTGCTGTTGATAACGTTCCCCAGTGATAGTTAGGCTGGAGTAGCTCGTAATAGATTACTCCGAGCTAATCCCACCAGATGCACAACATTAGCTTCTTGCTATGAATATTTGGTTGGGCCGTTGAAGTTGGTGCATGGCCGGGTTTACCCCACGATTTCATACGCTTTGTGTTGTCGTAGTGGATTCACTTTTCATCCCCCGTCACTATTCGATGCAAGAAACCCTTCCGATTTTGTCTTTGGAGAAGTTGTTCGCACGTGAAAAGACGGCGTTCGACGTTTCTGGGTTTGAGTTCATGCGGAACCCTATTTCCTTGCTTTTGTACCATACCAATGGTCTTGAGACGGTTTGAAATCGCTTGTTGAGTCATTCCCAAGTTTTCTGCGAGCTACTCTTGAGTTTGGCATGAGTCTTGGTCCAATAATGTCTCTAACTCAGCGTCTTCAAACTTTACTGGCCTTCCTTCGCGTTCTTTATCTTCCACGTCAAACTCGACGTTTTTATACTTTTGAAACCACTCACGACAATTTTTCTCACTTAAAGCAGCATCACCGTAAACTTCTACAAGCGACCGATGCGCCTCAGCAGCAGATTTCTTTAAATGAAAAAAATAAATAAAAGCTTCCCGCAAATGACGCTTATTCGGTACAAAACTCGACATTTTCGAACGAAAAAAATGTATACAGCCAATACAAAGTTAATAGTATTTTAAGGTTATGTTGTTGCCAGGTGTCCAAACTTTCTATATGATGTTTTACATCTGACGATTTCAAAGTAATCTTGTCGGTGGAGCCATCTTTTGAAAACGGCGGAAACTTATTTGTATTACTAATATTATTCTAATCCTGTAATAGCCGATTCAACATTTATCAACGATTCTCTCGATCTTCCGGTTCAGCCAATTTCAACTCTTCTATGATATCCGTAAGTATTAGTTTGATCTCCGGTATTAAGTTTTTCCCGAAAATGTTACATACTTTATTAAACGGCAAGACGAAATCAAACTATCGCACGTGATCGTGAAAAAAATTGTAACCTGGTAAGCAAGTAATCATTAACACAACATTATATAATAATATTTTATAACATGTGGTATTTAAAAATATGCAGTGCTTAATATTGTAATATTTATAAAATATTATGTCAAAATGTTTATAAAATCCAAGTAAAATCAATGTTTCAAAAGATTGATTTAATGTTTATTGCTTACTGGGAATCCATAAAACTTATAAAAGTTTCACCCATACATCGTGTTATTACAACATAATATTGTTATGATTCCATATCGATATCATGTCGGGAACGCTCTTCAAAGTGTTGAATTCCCGTGACAACGGTTGCCAAGAGAACTGTTGTTAATAACGAGACACGAGAAAGGCGCGCTCGAGTTAGCGACTCAACTGACGCGTCACGCACATGTTTTTTGCATACTAAAAGTTCTTATTTTACTTAGGAGTAAAATAAAATTATTTATCTCTGATCGTTCTAACGCTCTGTCGGCTGTCGCATCACGTTTTATCGAATTTAATTATTAGAACAAATAATCAACGGAATGATTCTGAAATAATGCCCTCCGAATTTCATGATATAGTATTTTCTTCAACACTGTAAGAGTAACATCGATAACAAAATGATCGAGACTCAAATCAGATTCTATACCTTATATCTTTTATCCAGGCAAGGACAACTCCAGGCAAGGACGACTCCATCGAATGAAACAACGCTTTAAACCACACTTTTCTAGATTGAACGCTGAACTATCTGAATTATTTATAATTCAAAATCACTTATGTAAGTATTTTCTCAAACATTCTATCAACGACGTCACAAAGATTACCAAATCTCGATGCGTTCTAGTGAGTGATTATGGAAAATTACGTTCATCGGTTACTAAATCTATAAACGTTGTCACTACAGAGTCCAATTCCAAATCCAAATGACAGGAGACGTCAAGTAGGTTAAGTACGTATTTAGTAGATTTGTGCTGGAGAGCGGGTATTGTATAATACGATGGGCATTGTGTGTACGGTGTTTGTGTGGCTAAGCAACGATTTCCATTGTTTCTCTTTAGAAGTTTAGTTTGTCGAGTTACTTGGTTTAATTGAATATTTTACTGAATACCAAACTCCCACGAAATTCACAAAAAAAAATATAATAATAATATTTTTCAAAAATGTTGTAAAACCGTTCTGAAAAAATTTGAGGGTATTTCTTGACTGATTTTAAGACATTTTTGTTCTTAAAAATTTTTCACTAAAATTAATAGTTTTTGAGAAAAAAATTCGCAAATTTGAAACAAACAATTTTCCCTTTCGGACGCCATTTTGTGTCCGCCATTTTGAATTTCGAAATAAATCTAACGGGGTTTGAAAGAGCAGACATCTATAACACCGTTTATAGTGATTGCGATGGTGTGTGCAAATTTTTTCCAACTCAAAATAAACATTAAAAAAAAAACCGTGAAAAATATGTGAATTTTTCGGAAAAACGGTCTATAACTTTTCCGGCTTACGATTTGGGTAAAATTTTTTAACGGCATTCGAAAGAAGAGGTCAAAATCTATAAGAAATGGTGTCTGATAAATTTTCATATAATTTTTTCGTTAAAAGATATAAGGTTGAAAGTTTAAAAAAAATTTGTGTTATGTGGGAGGAAAAAGGTTAAAATGGATACATTATGATTTTCGATGCGTTACGTAAGTTATATGTGGTAGGTAAAGGAAGTGAAAACTTGATATTGTATACATTATGTTTATTAAAATAGCACAATGATATAATACGAGGGTGGTCCCTGAAGTACCCGACCCAACAAAGAAAACACCAAAATTTTGGAAAAAAATGTATTTATTTTTCAACATAATCTCCTTTCAGCTCCATACACTTTTCCCAGCGATGTTCAATAAGTTCGATACCCTTTTTATAATAAGAACTGTCTTACTCCTCAAAATAGCCATTAACTGCCGACATCACTTCTTCATCGTTGGAAAATCTTTTACCACTGAGTCATTTTTTCAAGTTTGGGAACCGAAAATAATCCGAGGGGGCTAAATCTGGCCATAGACTTCGCTAAACACTCAATTGAAACATCTTCACGACACTGTTTTTGCTCGAGTGTGAGCAAACGCGGCACACAGCTTTCTCATGTCCAAATTTTCAGATAATATGTGATGTACCGCACTTTTTGAAATGCCCTATGTCTGCTAGCTCGCGCACTTTCAGTCGACGATCATCCAGTACCGCTTTGTGAATTTTCTTTACCATTTCTGGAGTCGTCACCTCATTTGGTCCACCACTGCGATGCTCGTCTTGGTAGCTCGTACAACCTCGTTTAAACTCTGCTACCCAATATTTTACTGTTGTAAACGAAGGAGCAGACTCACCCAGAGTAGAATTCAGTTCAGCTTTTATATTGGTTGGGCTAAGGCCTTTCAAATAAAAGTATTGTATCACATAACGATGACCAATTTTCTCTATTTTCACAAATTCACTGAAAATGTTCACTATTGATGGCTGCCAAACAAATACTAAACAACGTGGCGTCTTCAAACTTGAAACATATGCTTTATAGATTGTGTACTTTCTAATACAGTGATATTTTTCACACAACTACCGCTATCTCTAGGTCAGGTCGGGTACTTCAGGGACCACCCTCGTATAATATAATTATATCTATTGTCGTTTCAACCACCAGCTGAAAATTTTTAATACATTTTGTAACGAGCAGTGATTTCGATGTTTTTTACATCGAATATGTGTTACTTGCATCTATCTTTTTTAAAGATGGGATATCTTTGTATTCTGCGTCCATTGTCTCAATGATTAAATTTCTCTGTATGTCATCGCTGAGAATATCCTGCAATCATCGTTGTTTTTCAAGTCCTTTGATTATTTTTATAGTTATATCTGTAGAAGTTTTTCGTCGTCATCTTCTTCTGTCGTATCAAATAAGATTGATGCCTTGATCAGACACGCAGCCTTACTGTATGGTACATATCCATCCATCCATAATTATCCATAATGATTGGCGGTCAGCCTTGAAACTTGAGATTTTTCTAAACTTGTGAGATGATTCCGAGAAAAAGGTGGTCGAAAGACGTAATGAGAGAGAACAGTTCCTTTTCTCTATATCACTATTTCTTTCACAATAAATGCCTTTCGGATGATGAGTTCTTGCAAGTCCACAAACGTTTGCGCGATCATGGTGAAATATTCTTTAATCTGAACTGTCCTGAGCTGTTTAAATACGGACAATTTCCCTCCTATTGCATTTTTTTCAACACGATGTGGTATTATATCTGTACTTTTATGTTAGTTGATTTTGCGCATTAGGTTGGTTAGTGGACTATATTTAACTACACAATCATGCAAAATGAGACAATAAGCTATAGTATTCGCTAGTATATTCTCTTTACATTCAAATTCTATCCGCATATTCACAGTGAAGCTCTTAATGAACTAATTTTGATGCGAACAATCGATAATCACGAAAGGACTTCGCTGCAGAAAGTCGGCAGGTGTTAACCATACCTCATTACTGTTGCATCCATAGTATGATTTACGAAAACGTCTATATATATCATAAAGTATCAGCATAAGCATATCTGGTTTTTGCAAAATCTAAATTCATGTCATTGTACGGATAACATTTTGAATGCAGATAGAGTTTTGCGTTGGTCAAATTGTATTTGTGGAATCGAATTATATCTTCCGACATGACATTCTTCCGACCAATCTGCAACATGAAGATAACGTATGGTGGTGATTTTTCCAAATTAGTAGTAGTTTTGATAGCCCACAGGTGTTTGGTCGTGCTTTGCACCATAGGAAATTCATACAAGTCTCACAAGCGGAAACTCTTACTTAAGTATCGTCCGTTCTCCAATTTTCTCAGCAGGGAAAGTTTATGAATATTATTCAAGATTATGTGGGGCATTCGCCATTGTACCTTGAATAGCCCAATCTTAGACTACACGCTGCAAATCCTAGTAGACATTTGTCAATACGTGATCGTATTAGAATCAATTTGCGGCGTGCGTTAACCACTATACGCTTATATTCTTTACAGAATCCTAGCAAAATGTTGAGCGGTACGTAAAAGTTGAAATATTTATGTAGCAAAATAGCTATCATATCCTATGCGGCATTTTTCATGATAACACCTTCGTCCGAAGATAATGATACATAGTTTTTGAGCGTGGAAGTTATTCCAATGTTTCTGTTACGATCACTTTTTATACTATCCAGTTCATAACAAATCTCATCAAACATGAATGCAGCGTAATTATTTTACAATGTTACAGACTCATTATCAGCTCTCCTGTGTATAGTTAATTTTCTCTCGACATAAAGATAACTCTCACTAGACAATGTGTATAAATCCTACAGTTGTATGTATTCGTATTTTATCGCTATATCCAAACGTTGTATTGGAGTATGGATTGTACGTATGAGTCTCAATCTTGACGATCCGATCATCGAAGACCGGTTCACTTTCAATGTTCAAAATGTCAATCATCTTGCTCAATTATTTCGCACAATGAACCCCAGAGATTTCAAAAATTCAACGTTTAATGCATTGAGTTTCTTTCGTGTAGAGGATTTTGTGCTGTTAATCGTATGCTTCGTAAAAAAAATGTATCTCTCCCTTGCTTCTCCTGTTCCACTTGATTCATCACAAGCATCTCATAAATCACACCTATTATTGTCGCCGTTATACGTGTAATCTGATGGTAATCTTTTCTTCTTAAAAATCCAGCAATTGTCCTTCTTGATCCACGACAGACACTGTTAAATCTGTAATGTTTCGTGCAATGATAAATGACATACACCGGTGTTTTCGATATCTTATATCCTGATGACACTCTAAGCAAAAATTTATGTATCGTATGTACGCGCGTAATGTTGCTGTCCTTACCACGACAACGCTGCGTTCTGTACGAATAATATTCATGTTGATAATCTTAATCAATGCATCCGATTTGTACCATTATTGTATTGTATGGTTCTAATATACGATTCGATGAAAATCCCAAAAGCGAAACAACTATGAAAATTTAATTTCACGATCATTGCCACCATCCCATTTTGTTATAATTTTTACATCTACATGATTTCGAACATTTTTCATAATTTTACCAAATAATGCGTTGTTCGTCAATTTGTATACATTTTTCTCAAAATCATTTGTCGCATGTGTTCTAAATTGCGTATTTAATTCGACATAATCGAAAAGCCATGGAGATTGGACGAATTGGAGTACACAGTGTATCATTCTAGTACGAAGACCATGACGTGTGCACTACTGTAGATTGCGGTAATGGATAATATAACACTGTTTATCATATAATGTTGCGTGTAACTTATCCTGTCTTTTGCTAGGTGGCTTTGCACGGGTTGGACAGAACGGTAGATCGGAATGAGCATCGTATAATCATTGCAGATGCTTTAAATCGACATCGAGAATGTAATTTATTGGCGAATCTAGTGCAATTGAAGATATATCAAATTTTGAAATATCAGCGACCCATTGAAATTTGACGTAAGGTAACAGTTGACACATTGCCTATCCACATACATTGTTTACATCAAAGTACATCAAGTATGATAATAGTTTCAATGGATCATAAAACTGCATGTACTTATACTTGTTATAGACTTGCGCATATCTACCGGAATATTGACTCAAGCCACTGCGAATACCGCGTCCGATAAACATGACCATATCGATGTGGGTGAGTAATTCGAAAGTAATTTTGGTACGATTTAATATAATGTCTTACGTGACGCCCGATATCGAAAAAAAATATGCGGTATCCAATCCATAACTATTATTAATACAACTATCGCGGAAATTTTCAAAAATATATGCAAATGACAAGACATCAATTTTCAAATACAAGTCGCTATATTCACCCAAAGTTCGAATAGAGAATCGCTGCCAGACGTTCGCAGCGTACGCGTAATCGCTTTTAGATACTATCTCAACCGTCAATGAACTAAAATGATTCGTGCGGTGGTAAACACGGATCTTGCAGCTTGTCAATACAATCGAGGTATTCGTATGGAAAGACATCTTTTCGCGTTAATAACCCAAAATCTATGACCGATAAGTTTGAGAATTCTGACCGGATTTTAATTTGTATTTACTGAGAAAAGATACCAATTTGTCGAGACTGGTATTTAGCAATTTGTATGAATCAATGAATCGTAACTGTATGCAATTTCCAAACTTTGATTTTTCAGCTGTATCTTGAATCTTTTTCGTAAATGAAATATATTTTTCTTCAGTTATTGGTAGTACATAAATTGAGCCTTCAAACGCATTAGCTATTTCCTTTATAATAAAATACGAATCGTAACCTGATAAGTTATGAAAAACTATGAGAATATAAAATGAATTTTTATAATTTATATTACAAATTGAATGCGCGAGACCTCTATAACGACCGGTATAATGGCAATGATTGCGTACTCTCTTATCATCAGTCTCGAATGGTTTCTCGCATATGTAACAGCACATTATGCATTATGAAATGTCTCCCACTGATCTTTCGACAGAATTTCTTTTGGAACATTAGTGGATAAAATATTCTTTACATGGTGCGTTAATTGTTCCAACTGTCCAACGAACCACGAGATGCAATCAGTATCGCGATGAAAATGATATCCGGATAATGAATTATTTCACGAGCAATCTATGTAATGCCCTAAACTAATTAAATTAAACTAATTACCTTATGATGTAGATAGAATGTGTAATCTTTTGATTTGTCTTTCGCAATCTTCTCCAGCATGCATTCTAGGTCCGCATGCACTACAAACGGGGTCCGCTCTTTCCTGCTATAGTTGTTGAAACTGAGCCATTTGTTGTCCTCGCTGGATAACAGGATAGCGTAACCATTCATCTCTCGACAATCTATAGCATAAATCTTCAGTTTCTCCTCCGAATTAAAGTAGTGCAAACACCTGCAGAAATATTTTTTTAATCTTTTTCATGAGCAATTTTTAGTTTTTTTCATAAAATATTTTCTAAATTTATACGTAACAGTCACAGATGTACTTCTTTGCTTTTTCTTGTTCAGTTGCGAACTCATGAGTCGAGATAAGTTTTTATCGAAATAAAATGTCCAACGTTGTCATCTCGCGAATTTGATATGTGTAATAAGTTGACGTGTTTGTCCATTGTCCGATCAGTGAAATATATCGAAAAAATTGCGAGTCTTGTTTCCTTCTCCACCTTCTTTTCGGCACTATACACATTAATAGATATATTTTTCAATCTTTCGAATTTTGTTATTTGTTTCACAGACATAGGAAAGTCAATTTTCTGTAGATATTGATTTGTAGTGTGAATACGAGGATAGTCGATCTATGCGTTTTTTGGCTGGGTGTAGAGCTGCGACCACTGTCCACGCGAAACACGCATTGTTCGTGGATTGCACATTCATCATTGCTATTTTCAGCCGTATCTCGCGTGGTAACTCAAAATGACAGCCCGCGTGTATCGGATTGTATTTGTTCACACTAACCGTCAGATCAAGTATTTGCAACAATGCCCACCCGTTGTCACGTTCTTGGAATTCTTCCAATGACGCTAAGGTGAGTTCGATCACGCACCGCTTGTACCACTCTTCTAAATCAGATGTGGAAAAGAGTTCACAGTTTTCGTATTGATACTTTTGGCTGCGCGTTTATCACCCGTAACAAACACACTATTAAACGCAGTTTTCACTTTGAGACCCCTGTGTTTCTCGCTAGCGTTTCGCATATGTTCAATTACTACNGTTCGATCACTATGTTATTTGCATCTCAGAGAAATCGTAGAGATTCGATATAATCAGCGTTTATAACCACACCGGTTAACAAGCAGCTTTCGAACGCGGTGTCGATTTCTCGCCATAAGAGTCCTGCATTAGAATGTCCGGCATGCATAAAACGTGTACGCAGTGAATTTTTTAGAGTCGCGCAATACGAGCGACCAACGAATGCACTGAACCAGTCGAAAATCGCGGTTTTTTCACTCGGTTATGTTCCTCCAACGACTCGAAACACTCGTTACCTCGTTCTTCCCACGTACAGTACTCGTCTCACTTTGAAAAGAGAAAAAAAATCTACACCCTGGTCTTTTACTTTCATATACGTCTCATTTTTTCTTCTTTTACTTGAAACATATTTGTAATATGTCATTTAGTGTTTATCGAAAGGAAAAAGGTTTATGGACAGAGCCCATAAGTAGTCGATAGGAAATTATGAACGTTATTTTGCCATAAGTACTCAAGTATACGTTCCCAAAACCAACTCTCAGATAAGGATAAGGAAAATCCTGGTCTTTCACTCTCATATATGGCTCATATATTTTCTTCCATTTGAAACATGTTCTGATGTATCTTTTAGCGCTTATTGAAAGAAAAAGTGTTTATGGGTAAATCGTGTTAAAAACAACGCAATGGTTGGAAAATTGTCCGTATTTGAGTAGCTCATACACATTACATCAGTCGCTCTACAAAATGTTCTACAGACAAGGTGTGATTCAAAATGTATACCAACTGTACTGGAGGGAGACGCAATAATAATTACGATCCCATCAAAGAAGATGAAGCATTTTTATGCAAGAAGTATAAATGTGACACGTAAGTCATAATGTTTGCTACATCTTTATGATTTTTATATACATTTTCTGAAAAATTATTTGTTTTAAATTTATTTTTTCATAGTCTTACGATTCAACTATCAGACCGTTTCGAGCAGCTCGTATTTTGGGGATGAAATACACTTTAACATCCACATCATATAAATATCTAGAAATTGGAGTCAGCGCAGGACCTGTCTCATTTGTAGAAATTGCCCTTGGCGATAATCGCGGCAATCAACTGATTTTGCCTGTTTCAATGTGGAGAACGCTGATTCAAAAACGTGTAAACACCGAGCGACATATAAAGTCAACGGAATCTCATTCTTCACCGATACGGATTCGAGTGTTAGCGCTGGAATTTTGTAAGATGCACGGTGATAAAATTATAAAGCTTATTTTGTTAAATAAGTTTATGTATTTAAAATCGGAAACATTGAATATGTTACTTGATCTCGACCATTGCATCGATCATATGTATTATGGCTATGTGAAAATACGCATCTTGTTGATATGAAATTTAAAAAAATTTGTAAACGCCTTGCAACAGAATAATATCGCCGATATATGTTACAAGCCTGAGAACCTCGAATTGTGTTACGCCGCTAAAACGATACGCGAGAGCGACGATTTCGACAGCGAGTCTCTTGACTGCGAACTGTTGGCATGTGCCTTGAAAGATATTGTGCACGATGCTATTGCAAATGAATAAAATTTGGTGAAAAATAAATTGTTATAAATTAGAAAAAGAATATTTCTCTTATACTTACCTCTTCTCCTTACCACCTATACGTAAACGCATCGGAAAATCATAATGTAACCATCTTAATAGAAACAGCCGGTCACAAAAGCATAAATAGCTAGGACAGCAGGAAAACGAAAAATCTAAGGCTCGAGCTGCTTTTGTCCCTTTTTCTTTCAGGTCAGTTTTTCTATTCTTACTTCACATATGTTCGAAAAGATATTATACGCAGAATTATATAAACGAAAGATGTTTCATAAACTGTACTATAAAAATACGTAAAACGTTAAACAGCGTTCAAAAACATGATTATCGTTCTTTACCGTTCGTCAACCGTTCTATTGCCGTTCTTTACCGTTCGTCAACCGTTCCCTTGCCATCTTTTTACCGTTCGTCAACCGTTCCTTTGCGGTTCTTTACCGTTCTTCAACCGTTCCATTGCCGCTCCTTACCGTTTGTCAACCATTCCTTTGTCGTTCTTTACGTTCATCAATAAATCTTTTGCCGTTCTTTACCGTTCGTCGACCGTTTTACTGTGGAAGAACTCGTTTATTTGCGTGAGAGCAGAGGGACTGATCATCGCAAATCGGACAGGCGAACGCGGATGGATGAGGACGTTCGCTGCGGGCGAACGCGGAAAGGGTTGCGGGTGGAGGATGGACCGCTGCAAGCGATCCAATGTGGTCGCCGATGGGATCCGTTTACCGACCGATGAAGGAATATCGATCGCTGGAAGAATATCGATTGCTAGAGGGGGATCACGATGGTAATATAATAATACAGACGTACTGTCGGCAACACAGTACATAGTACATAACATCAGTTCCTGCGCGCGTGAAGTTAGCCCCCTCGTGACGTCGCCACCGCATCTACAAACCCCCATCCCCAGATGACGTCAGCTCCCGCGTTTATAAATCCCCTCTTTCTCCGCGTGACGTCAGTCCCCGCGCGCCTACAAGGTCTCCCCTCCTCCAAGTGACATAAGTCCCCGCGCCCTGCGGTACCCCCGTCCCGCGTGACTCCCCTTCCCGCGTCATGCGGTACCCCCACGCCCCTCGGAGCTCGCAGAACTTGCCTAGTGTATCTATTTGCTTACGTTCTTAATATCTGAGTTAAAGATTATTGTTACACGTTCCTTGTTTATATAAATTAAACGTTCTTAGTTTTATTTGGGAGTAAACTTGTGGGGAGCGGAATTAGCCTATGGCTACCGCGCATGCAAAGGAGAGAGAGAGAGAATGTAGCAAGGAAGGGCAGTGCTGTGTGTGCGCACAAATAAATGCGGAGTCCTTATCCTGCTCACACGCAACTGTATTTTCTGGTAATTTACAAACTCGCAAACGTAACAAAGGAAAACGGTGTGCTAAAAGCTAAGAACGCAGCGTAGAACAAAATGGCCGCGACGCGGCACAAAATAGGCGCGACGCTAATGTAATGGCCACGATAGAACAAAAATGGCCGCAACGCGGGACGCAAAAATCGGAACGCTATATACAGTGAGATCAGCCCGCTAGGACGGGGAGCCGGCTCCTCCTCTCACGCAGGGAGAGGTGCGAGATGCAAGCCGCTTAAGACGTCGCGAAGGCGGCGGTCGAGAGAGCGTGCGGCGACGAAAGGCGTCGCGCCGCGCAAGAATGTCACTCGCACTCGCGGACATCAAGCCGTTGCGGAGTCGCGAGAGGCGGAACGCAGGCACTGATACGCACTTGCTCGCAGTGTCGGAAGCAAAACGCACAAAGGTGAACAGAGAGGAACACTCACGAGCACGTCCTCTTAGTTCGGAATCCGAGGCGGAAGAGAACAAGCCGGGGTCCTCGCACGGCCGCCGGGACGCTCAGAAACAAAACGCGATCGCGCCACCGAACACGTGGTTGGCCGTTGTTGGTGTCGCGTGACACTCACGTGGTTCCGGTGGTGCGCGCGACGCGCCGGAAAAGCCGGATGGCGCTCGAGCCGGTCAGAAGACCGGACGCGGTATCAGAGTCTGTTTCCTCCTGTGCGGTGGCACCGCCGGTGACGGCGCGCGAAGCTCGACCGTCACAAACTTATTTTTTCTAATTGTAAGTGCTTGTTTGCTCAAAAGTGCAACATTTTGGGAGCTCGTGGGATCAGAAGTGAAAGATCCTGATGTGGCACGCAGGATTGCTATTCAAAATTTAAAAATTCTTCAACAACTTATAACTTGGTTCTAAGATCGTATCTTCAAAACAGGTATTTCAAAGTGAAATTCAATGAAAATACTTCTAAACAGTACTCTGCTACATCAGGAGTCCCAGGAAGTACACTTGGTAAGCCAATCCTCTAGGTTCTATACACTGCAGACTTCCTCGTCGACAGAGAAACTAAGATTACTACATACGCAGACGACACGGTCATACTTATTATTCACGAAAATCTCAACTTTGCCTCAAGAATCTTACAAAGAACTTAACAAGAATGAAAAAATAGTTTAAAAAATGGCAAATAAAAGCCACCACAACGAAATCAGTTCGGGTCACTTTTACATTTGTTATGTCCTGGGTACCTCGGGAAGTACAGATTCCTTTTTTTTATATACCAGGTGTAGAAGTTTGAAACCGGAATTTTTTGTAAAAATTACACGTCTGTTGTTTGAAAATGATAAAAAATATTTTATTCAAAATAGTGTCTATTATTATTTATACATTTTTCCCACCTCTCCGGCAGTTTATGAATGCCACGCAAAAAAAATATTTTTTCTTTTGAAATGAACCAGTTATCGAGCAATTTTCGTACATTTTCATACGAATTGAAACGTTGTTCAGCGAGAGCGTGTCCCATTGATGCGAATAGATGATAATCGGATGGAGCCAAGTCTGGAGAATAAGCCGCATGCGTTAGTATTTCCCTACTGAACGCCTCGATCGTTTCCCTGACCCGTTTTGCTGTGTGTGACGGGGCATTATCATGGAGCAAAATGACTTTGTGTTACCTTTTTCCATATTCCGGTCGTTTTTCACGCGATTTAAATAAATCATTTACTGTTGGTAACGATCAGTGTTAACGGTTTCACCAGGTTTTAGCAGCTCATAATAGATTACACCCTTCTGATCCCACCAAACACAGAGCATTGCCTTCTTTCCAAAGCGATTGCAGTGGATGTCGATGGTTCGCCTGGATTCACCCATGATTTCTGACGCTTAGGATTCTCAAAATATATCCATTTTTCATCACCTGTCATGATACGATGGACTTTCTTTTGTATCTGTCGAGCAGCATTTCACAAGTG